CCCCTCCTGGGTGACTTCATTTACCAGGTTCTCAGAAAAGTCATGACATATTTTTCTATGCAAAAATGTATCATGACTTTTCTGACAACCTAACAGTTTTCATGGCTTCAAAACCATGTGTAAGTTAATGGCCCCTAAACTCGTACCATCAGAGTAAGCTTTTTATCTAAAGTTCATATTTCCAACTGCTTATTAAATATCTGCAATGGAATGTCCTATAAGCCTCTCAAGCTTAATATGCCCAAAATGCAACAGCTGAATATCTTTCCCAACTCTATTTTTCCTGTAGTGTTTGTTATCTTAGGACGTAGCAACTCCATTCTTTGTGTTGCTCAAATGAAGGGGGAAAAAAAGGAAGAAAAAATGAAAAGAAAAATCCTAAAGTCATACTGTCTTTTGCCTCACCTCTTACCTTCTTTGATTTGATGGCTGGGGTATTTTCAATTAGTCAATAAATTCTGCTCATTCTATCTTCAAAATATTCTACCATCTGTCATCCTTGTCACCTCCAATGCCTGATCAGGCCATCATCTCTTGCCCCAATTAGTATAATCATCTTCAGATTTGATTCTCACTCACCTCTGTCCTCATTTAAAATTGAAGATTTGGGCCAGCAGGTGGCATGGTGGTTAAGGGCACTAGACTCCCACATGGCTGACTATGGTTTGAGTTCTGAACCTGACAGTTTGCTTTTTCACTTTCTCTCTCTCTCTTTGGTCACATGAAATAATAATAATAATAATAAAATAAAAGTTAAATAATTATTTAAAAATAAAATAAAACGGAAGATCATGTCATTACGCTACTCAAAATTCTCTAATAATTTTCTGTCTTACTTCTGTAAAAGGTAGAATTCTTATCGTGACCTACAAGTTCCTAAAAATATACCCACACTGAATATCAAATCAAACCCCCAGTGAAGTATCACCTCATACCTGTTAGAATGGCTATTACCAAAAGGATAAAAGATAGCAAGTCTTTGTGGAGTGTAGAGAAAAGAAAACCCTTGTATTGTTGGTGGGAATGTAAATTAGTACAGCCATCATGGAAAACAGTATGCAACTGTTTCAATCAATTGAAAAATAGAACTAGCATGTGACTCAGCAACCCTCCTTCTGAGAAGAAAGCCAAAGAAAATAAAATCTGTATCTCAAAGGAATATCTATACTTCCATGTTTACTGCAGCAACATTCACAAAAAACAAAATATGGCAGCTACCCAAATGTCTATGACAAATGAATATGACAGCGTAAAGAAATGAACCCCAACATAAGACCATGTATGACAAATCCACAACTAATTCCATACTGAACCAGAAAAAAATTAAGAGCTTTTCTTCTTTAATCTGGAACAAGACAAGAATACCCACTTTTACCATTTGTAAATAGTTGAAACAATTAGGAAACAAAAATAAAGGAGATCCAAATTTGAAAGGAAAAAGTCAAATTGTTCTTGTTTGCAGACAACATGATCTTACATATTATAGAAATTTAAGGACTTCACCAAAAGACTCTTAGAAGTAATAAATGAATTCATTAAACTTTCAGGATACAAAAAAAAAAATCAACAAATAAAAAGCAGTAGCATGTTTACATGCCAATAGCAAATTAACAGAAAAAGAAGAAAGCAATCTCATTTACAATAGCTAACAACAACAAAAAGAAGTGCCTAAGAATAAAATTAATCAAATAGGTGAAAGATCTCTATAAGAAAAACCATAAAACACTGGTGAAAGAAATTAAAGAGGACATAAATAAATGGGAAGATATCCTCTGCTAATGGATTGGAAGAATAACACTGTTAAAACATTTATTCTGCCAAAAGTGATCTACAGATTCAATGCAATCTCTATCAAAATACCAATGGCATTCTTCACAGAAAAAGGAAAAAAAATCTCAAAATTCATATGAAACCATGAAATACTCAATAGCAACAAGTCAAACAATCTGATTTTAAAGTGGGCTAAAGAACTGATAGACATTTCTTAAAAGAAGAAATAGATATGGTCAATGGGTATGAAAAAAAAAATGCTCAACATCACTGATCATCAGGGAAATGCAAATAAAACCAGAAAGAGATACTATCTAAGTCCAGCTAGAATGGTTATTACTGAAAAGACAAAAATAATAAATACTACTAATAATGTATAGAAAGGAGAACTCTTATACACTATCAGTAGGAATATAAATTAGCACAGTCAGTATGGAAAACAATACAGAAGTTCCTCAAAAAAGTAAAACCAGAACTACTAGACAACCCCTATAATTCCACAGTTGGATATATCTCCAAAATAAATAGCATCAGTATATCAAAGAGATATCTGCATGTGTGTTTATTATAATGTTTTTCACAGTAGCCAAGATAAAGAATCAGCTTATCAACAGATGAATGGATAAAGAAAATGTGGTATATATACCCTATGGAATATTATTCAGCTATAAAAAAGAGTAAAATCCTGTCATTTGCAGCAATGAGGATGAACCTATAGGACATCATATTAAGGGAAATAAGCCAGGCACTGAAAGTCAAAAATCACACGATGTCATTCACATGGAATCTAAAGTTGAGTTCATGAAGTTAGAGTAGAAGAGTGGTTACTACATACTGGGAAGAATAGTGAGGAGGAAGATGGAAGAACGGTGGTCGATGGGTACCAAGCTAGTTAGACAAGAGGAATAAATTCTAAGGTTCTACTGAATATTACAGTGATTGTATTAATATCAAAACACTGTATTTCTAAAAACAGGTAGAAGAGAATTTTGAATGTATTCACCAAAATAAATGAGAAATGTCTGAGGTGATAGATATGCTTAATATTCTAATTGCATACGTGTATCAAAACATCACTCTGAACCTCCTAATATGCTGGAAAAATTCACTGTACAAGTTGTGGTGATGTACAGTGATTGTATAAATTAAAAAATATATATATATGCACACACAATTATGTGTCATTTAAAAAGTGACATACATGCATGCACATATACAGAATGTAATTCAGCCCTGAAAAAGAAGGAAACCCTGTCATTTGCAACAACATGGACAAGCCTAGAGTACATTACACTAGGTGAAATAAGCCAGACAGAGGAACAAAAGGACAGAGCTGCATGATCTTATTTACTTGTGGAACC